TTAGTTTTATGATGTTTTTCTGAGTAGATGTTTTATGTTAGTTGTTAGATAGAAGGTGGGGACCATAGTAGTTATGTGAGTCCAAATTTTATTATGTTTTTTGAGTGTTATATATGCTGTTTTATGTTTTGCCGCCCTATAAGGGCATAGTTGTCTTTGTACTGTTCTATTATTTTAGTATAAATAATAAGTGAAGGGGGCAGCCAAATCATTGCTCTCTTTTCTTTTCAACTTCTCTTCTTCTCTTCTTATCCTTCTCTCTTCCTTCTCTCTTCAAGAAACTACTTTCGTTCATATTTTTTAATTCAGCAGATTCCTACTGCTTAAATATCATTGAATCAACAGATTTGAAATAAGACAAGAAACTATAAGTTTATTGAGAAGAAACCATCATTTTGGTAACTTCTGAAAGGAAAATGCTGAAAAGGTTCCAAATTTAAGAATGTTCAGCAGTTATCAAATAGCCTCTAACTATTTCTTCCTAAATAAAATATAGCTCTTTTTTTTTCCAAATTTCACTGCCTGCATTATTTTCTAGATATTCTTCCAAAATAATTCCTACTGAAGGTGGCAAAATTTGAATCTTCGCTTTCTTTCCTTTTTAACTTTCGACTTTAGCAAGAAAACAAAAAAAAAAGGAAAAATCTATTAAGAAAAAAAGAATATATCCAAAATTAGACTTTTTTCTAATTATATTCAAATACTTCTAGAGAAGTTTATGAATCAAAAACCAGTTAAAATGGAAGAAAAAAAGCAAATCATAATAAAAGAATATTAAATCATAAACCAATAAAAACAGTAATTACCTCGATCATATTAAGTGTAGAATTGAACAGAGTCGGCAGAGCCCGTGTCCCCACATACACATCCCCCTCTACTGATAAATGTTCAAACCGAACTTCAATCTTTGGAATCTCAATCTCAACCCTGTTAAAAACAAAATTAAGAATTAATAAAATGATTTAATGAAACAGACACTGAGAGAGCGAGAGAGAGACCTGTCAGTCCGTTCCCTGAGCCTGAGAAGAAGTTTCTCGTTATCATCCTCAACAACCTTGAGGATGCTATCCATTAACAGCTTCTTGTCGTCAACACCGAGCTTGGTAATGTCAACCTCATTTCGAACAACCCTTCCATTATCCAGGACCTGCGTCAGCATTCCCCTCCTCAAACGGTCGTATGTCGGGAGCCTCTCGATAGCAGCCCATTTCAGCTCCTCCTCATCATCTCCATGCCTCCCGCTCCGACTAAAAACATCCGGCGGAGCGCTCCAGACCTCGCGAAAGCTCGTTGAGCCCCAACTTCTCCGGCTACTCGACGATCTCACTAGATCGTCACCAGCCAAAGCCGAAGCCATACTTGAAACCTCTCAAAAACCTTTTGGAGCCGTTGTATCACGGAAAATATTCGCCGGAGGTACTATAAACTACCACCATGACCCGAACATATACTTACGTTACCTGACAAATTCAAATCACAAATAACTTCATCCGAAATGCCAACTGTATCACTTGACATTCGCCGGAAAACTCAACGGAAACAACCACAGCTTATTTGAGTGCAAAATGCGTGCCTCCCCTAGTTGCAACAATTCGTTGAAAATTTTGACTCCCCGACCCTCTATTCCGCCTCGTATGATTATATTGATTCAAAAAATAATAAAAACAAACTAAACAAAATGAACCGTTTTTCTCTGGACAAGGATCCAAATCACTGCCAATCCCCAACTCCTCTGCCAATCAAAACCAATGCTTAAAGCACCGCCCGAACAGCAATCCTTACGATTAGTTTATCCCGCACAAACAGAGCAACCTCTTTTTATAGTTCTTCGATTCTTAGTCAACTCTCGCCTGAAAAGAACAGAACGTCACTATATAGATTCAGACGATATTTACTTTGCAAATCACTGCCAATCCCGAACTCCTCCTCTGCAAATCAAAATCAGTGCTTAAGCACTGCTAGAACAAAAATAACAATCCTTCCGGTTAGTCTAGCCCACACAAACAGAGCTACCCTCTTTTTGTACCTTTTCGACTCTTAACCAACTCTCAACGTCGCTATACAGATTCAGACGATCTTCTACTCAATGTTTTTTCTTGGGTTTCTCTTCTCAGAGAAGGATTGCAGAGAGAAAAAAGTTTTGCCGGCGTGTCAAAGATTACTGCTCTGAATTCCGACAGTTGATGCCAACTCACGTAAGGAATCTGAGACGCCTCCGCCTTTTTTCAAACCATAACGAATTTAAAGAAATAAAAAAAGATTGATGTCGTAGATATTTGTGATGACTCTATTGTCTCCTTATCCAACGCTTTGTGATCGTTAAAATTGTATAAGCCTACAGCCCCAGAGCATATTATCGGAATTCTTTTTTGCAATTAACTATTCAGTCAGTTGCTTCACTTGCTCGTAATTATCATTATTATATTTATTACTCGCGCATCTGGTTTGGTAGAAAAAATCGACCCCGTTTTAAATGTATGTTAACTGAACCGGTATTATCGAAATAAATTGATTAATCGGTTGATCAGTTTAGTTAATCGTCGGTTTGGTTTGTCAGTTTTTTAGTCTTTTGTATTTTTATAATATATTATATAATAAAAAATTATAAATATATAAAATTTTATATTTTAAATAATATATAATATATCATATATTATAAATATATATTTATATATAATGTATATATATTAATTTATAATATATAAAAAATATTAAATATATATAATGTAATATATATATATGGAAATATATATATATCAGTCGGTTTGATTAACCGACAATTTTTTATATTGATTAACCAAAACCAAATCGATATCTTTGGATTTTTTAAAACACCGAACCAAAACTAAACCAACCAATTCAGTTAATCAATTTTTGATTCAGTTTCAGTTGGTTCGGTTTTTTGGTTTTTTTGCTCACCCCTATTGATTATTAAAGCCAATAAGAGATTTGGGTTAGGTGTAGGGATTGTAATGTACTAATGGATGGGGTGTAACTTGGGTCGAGTACKTTGAATTGAGAAAAATTTCAAATTTTCAACGGAATTAAACCCAAGCCCGAGTCCGATGTAGGTGAAATTCTTCAAGTCGAGCAACACGGCTTGCAGCCCTGATATGGAGTGGTTGGCCCGTCGTGTATCCATATGGAGTGGATTGTTGAAGCGATCCGAATTCAAAACAGATCAATTAAGGGGCTGTTTTCATTCATGTTTTAAAAATCGATCTGGTTCAAATGAATGACTTGTTTTAATTTAAAATATAAAAAAATATATTTAAAATAAAAAAGCTAAAAATCATTGTCTTTGCCAAATGAATCAACGGTTCAAGTAGTCAGATCAACCGATTGCTGACAAAGTCAATGTTTTTAGCCAATATATAGGTTAAGGGTGAAACAGAATCTATTGCCTAATCAATTCTTGGGCCGAACAGTCTAATCTTCCAGATTAACAGTGGTTCAAAAACCATGATTTTCATTAATCTTGTGTATCAGAATGTGCAGTTGGTTGTAGTAAAGAGATAAATTAATATTATATTATTAAATTTAATTTATATAATTTTAATGTGTATTTGCTTTATAAAAATATAGATAATATTTTTTTTAATTCTTATTTATATTTGAGAGTGATTCAATAGATCTCTAGTCTAATATGTTATAAGCAAGATTCAAATTTCAAAGGGGTCCATGAGCCATATCAGGTGATTTGATTATACCTTTACTTTTGTAGTTTTTTTTTTCAAAAATTAGTCAGACGGGTCGATCTAAAGCCTACATACCCTTGAAATGGGTCAAACCCATCCCCAGCCTATTTTTTAGCGTATTGGTGACCTACCAGTATCATATATTGCGAAATGTTAGTCTTACATGTATTAACAGTTAAATAGTATAGAATTAAGAGTCGTATCCGGTTTGGGTTATATTTAAATCGACTAAATAGGGATCTTCTTGACGGATCCAATCAGAACCATATCCATATCTTGTAAAGCCTAAAGCATGTCACATATGCGCCTAGATTTAGCCTAATAATCTACAGATCCAACATATTCATGACCTAAGTCGGGTCGGGTGCTGTTTACTGTGCTACTGCCAGCCTTGCAACTGGCACATAAAAACCAATTGATTGGAGGGCTAGGCTTGTATACAGATGCTTTAGTACTCATTTGGGAGTGCTTTTATGCCGCGGTTTCTGGCTTTACAAGGTGGGTTCCACACAAACAGCCTATAAGTCATGCTTAAAAATAGCCCTGAAAAATACTTTTAAGCCCCCCAAAAAAAAGCCTAAAATTGGAGGTTTAGAAAAGTAAATCCTGCTGAAGGTTATCAGAATGCATGGAGTTTTTGACATCAAATTTTGATTTCTCAGATACATAAGAAGGAGAAAGTATAGTTTAAGAAAAAGAGTAGGGGTGGTTTAACACTTTACGCACTACAATGGTTCATTTCATTTTTAAATTAGTCTTTTTTTTTTTTTGTAGATGTGATATATTGGAGATTTTCTACCCAATAAAACACGTTCCACCGCACATCGCCATATAAGACGTGCAGTGTTAGACAAATTGGTAGATGGAAACGTGTTTTATTGACACAGGTGATCCCGACTCGATCTGGAGTGATGTCACAGAGTTGTCTTTTCTTTAAAAAAAAAATCATACATGTTCTCTAACATTTAATAAAGGAAAACAAACACATCCCCATTATGTCACACCAACACTTGGTACAACTAACATAATCTTTTCTTATTATTATTACTTGTTGGGGAGGAAGAGGGGTTTGGCTAGGAGTGCAATTGAACTAAGCTAAGTCAAATTTTAGCATGTCTTGTCTTGGTTACATTAAAATATTATTAGGTTTAAGTTTGATTTTGAATTTGATTCGAATTATATTTCTGATTAAATATTTGATGAATTTGAGTTTGACTCAAAAGCTATAAAATGAATGTATTTTTATATGTTATATATATATATATATGTTATATTTTTCATAATATATAGGATGTTCTTATATTATATATAGAATATAAAAAGATATTTTCATAATATATATTATATTATATAAAAATATATAAGTAAAAAATATATTTTTACATTTCATAATATAATATATGCATATGTATGTATATATTAATTGAGTCAGACTCGATTCGGTTTTGACCGTGTGCCTTCATATATGGAAGGATGCTGAATGATTCATTAGCCCTACAACCATAACATTTAGAAGGGTGTATATGAGGTCCGCTGAGCTTACAATTAAGAGCTTGCATCACACAGGTTTGGTTATTTGTATTTCAACCATAACACTATGGATTATAGTTACAACATTTAGATGGTTTGGTACTATAGTTGCTTACTTCCTTATAGGTCTTTCTTTTCTGAATTTATTGGAGAAAAGAAATTCCATCTGCATCAATTTTCAATTGTTAGTTGTTTAATTTTTATCCGTTTAGATTGAACAGTCAAACTGCTGACTTGGAAACCCAGTTGTCGATGTGATTCTATTTCTTGGTTGATTTTTAAAACATTGATTTCATATAATCTTTCAAAAAAAACAGATAAATATTTTGATGAAATGGATATTAGCTTAGATTTCCTATTTCTATTCTTTAATTATTCTCTGTCCAATATTTCAAATGTTGGATTAAACCAACATGATGGGAGGACCTGAACTGGACCCAATCCAGTTTTAAGAACCTAGCTTGATTCCTGCTCTAATTCTCTAATCCAGTTTTAAGAATCTATTGCCTTTTAGTTAAACAAGATAAAACTGGAAAAATATCCTTTTTCTAGTTTGATTTCTGCTCTAATTCTCAAACGTCGTTTTTCTTTATTTGCAGAAACATATAAGAATATAAATGCATATGCTTTTAGTTTAGATTTCTCTTGAAACAAAATCCTCCATCTTGCAGCCATTAAAATAATGACAAATATCTAGTCCCATTCACTAAAATTCAGTTTGATAGCTGCTATAAAGTTTAATTGTATATATTTAGCAAATTTTGTTTCCGCAAAACCCTAGATAATTAATTGTTCATAATTCCTCTCTTTCCCCTTCAATAAGAAACATGTTAACCTTCTTAAACACTGGTCTATACTAGAAGTTTTCCATGAGAGAGAAAAGGAGGCTTTGGTGTTTGAAATTTTACTTCTGTTTTTTTTACACTACAAAGAGTTGCAGCATTTGATTCCTACAATTTTTCTGAAGTTGATTGATCAATGGGATCGCAATATATGTATTCAAGTTGGGTTTCATTAATTTCAACTTAAATAGGTTTCAGCCAATACCATATAACTTGGACAAGGTTTGGATGATGATGATCTTATAAGTTACCATCGGAGTCATTCAAAGTTGGCTCAATGGATTTAATTAAAGTATCTCTTAGGTGGTTTTCCATTGGTGAGCAAGATTTTAAAAACCAGACTGGATATGAAATCATTCTAACAACCGGTTCTTAGGTTGAAAGGCCCGATTGTTTGAGTCAGCAGATCGTTGACAAAATCAATGATTTTTGGCCAAAGTGGTTTTAGGATGAAAAGGAACTGATTACTTGACCAGTTCCTAAGTCAACTGATCCAACCGTTCAATTTTCAAAATCATGTCAGTGAATTGACATGGAAATTAAAAAACAGTTTTATAATACCACCTGATTGATATGAATTTTTCTGATATCATGTCTTTTTGGTATCATAGCTGAACCCTATCAATTTATTTTGATCACCAACTTATCCATTTTTCATTGGAGGACTACAAGCAATATAACTTGCGATGTGGGCATATAAGAAATACCTATGGATACCATAAAGTACGAGAGTCATGACATGGGACATTGACTGACAGTCTATTTGGTTCGTGGTTAGAATCAGAATTAAAATCCCTTAAAATCGGAATCTAAATTGTTTATTACCCATCTGTTTGGTCTAGAGGCAAATCAAAATTCTATTTCATAAGATATGCATAACTCCCAAGGAGTGGTGTTTCTGCCAGGAGTGCAAATGAGGACCTTGAATCATTCATGACCTTCTGTTCACATCAACAAATCTCTTATGGTTGAAAACAATAATAGAACTCCTAGCATTTTTCTTTTTGATACAATGAAAACAAACAACAACTAGCACAGCCTAACAAAGGGACAGATTAAAACCCCCTATTTTGTCAAACAATACTACAAAGCTGAAAAGCCCTTATTTTGTCCTTAAACAATACTACAAAAGA